GAGGAGAATTTGCACTGGTTTTGGGACACACGCAACGCGACTGTTTGTCCGGTGTTTGTGTGTTGCAGGCAAGAGAAAAAACAACAACAACAACAACAACAACAAGGACAACTCAACATTTAGGAGCAGATGGAAAGAGATCCAAGAGATGCCAATCAATTATTAAAAAGCCCGGCTGAGTTTTTCTTAGGTTGCCTTTTTGAAATATTAAACAGGCTTTTCATGGGGCGTTTCCGGAGGCAGAGGGCATCCGAGCCCCGTGATTCCCTTAACAACGGTGGCAAAAAAGGGTCTTTAAATGGGGCAACATGTCACTTCTTTAAAAATATGCCTCGCTTAGGGACAGAAATGCTGGTTGTAGGTCGAGGATCCCCCCCGCCCCGTGGTTGATTCAATCGCTTTGCCCGCCAAAATGGAACTTATTCAACAGATTTCAACAGGTTCGAGTTGGAAAGGGGACCTTGTAGGTCATCTAATCCAACCCGCCACCCAGCACCTTCACGGTTTGATCCTGGAAAAAAATCTGATTTTTTTTTTCTATTTCTTTTTTTTTCTCTTTGCAGTTCGGTCAATGCCCAAACCAAGAACGGTGCCACCCCCCTGTATTTAGCCTGCCAAGAGGGCCACCTGGAGATCATCCAGTACTTGGTCAAGGAGTGTGGGGCTGACCCACACCTACGCGCCAACGACGGCATGACGCCCCTCCATGCCGCAGCCCAGATGGGCCACAACACCGTCATTGTGTGGCTGGTGAGCAAGGAAGGGGGGGACGGACATCGTGTGTGTGTGTGTGTGTGTGTGTGTTGTCAGGGTTCCGGCATCCACCCCCATTCAGATCATGAATCTCTAGATGCATCTTTCAGAGTTTAAAGATGGATTTATTAGGAGTGACCCTGTTGGCGTTGCCTGGTTGCAGCCGACTCTGAGACCCATCACTGAGACTCCAGTTCTTGATTAATTGATTATTATTTAATTATTTTACATTTATCCTGCTGGCTACGCAGATGAGTTTCACCAATGCCCACCTGTCGGAGCAAGACGAGGACGGGGCCACGCCGATGCATTTCGCGGCCAGTCGGGGCCACGCCAAAGTCCTGAGCTGGCTGCTCTTACACGGCGGGGAGATTGTGGTGGACCAGTGGGGGGGAACCCCCTTGCACGACGCGGCGGAGAACGGGGAGCTGGAGGTGAGCTGGCAGAGAGAGGGATCGCCTCTTGATGCCCTTTCCCTCGCGAGGGAGGAAGAATCGGAGGGAAGGAAGTTCCCGGTTCGTTTCAGCAAGGGGACGCGGGACCCTCGCGAGTTGCTTGGCTGGGCCTTCGGAGTGGGAGAACTAGGGAAAGGTTGGAAGGGATCCCCCTTCAGAGGTCATCTAGCCCAACCCCCGAGCTTCCCCCTTCTGCTCACCCATGTCCTCTTCTCTCTCTACCCCCCACCCCAGTGCTGTCAGATCCTCGTGGTTAACGGCGTGGACCTCAGCCTGCGCGACCAGGAGGGCAACACTGCCGCAGACCTTGCCGACTACAACGGCCACTCGCAGTGCGCCAAGTACCTGCGGACGGTGGAAAACATGGTGCAGAGACGTGGCGGGGAGGGTGGCTTAGTCTTACCCACAGGGGGGAGGGGGTGGAAAGGGGCTTGGGATGAATATCGGGGCTTCTAAAGGGCATCTAGTGGTGTTCAACCTTGCCTCGGATTTATCCTTTCATCCGTCAATGCCCTGATTTGAGCCACTGCTCTTAGTCCTCGTCTTACAACCATAATCGGGGCAAAAAAAAATTAAGCATTCCAGTCTTTTAAGTGAGGCCCCCTTGATTTTATAACCTTGTTTTGCCATGGTCATTAAGTGAATCCAGCAAATCAATCAATCTATCTTTCTATCTTATCTATCATCTCTATATTTATTTATCATCTATTATCTATCATCTGTCTATCTTTCTATCTATCTATCATGTCTATATTTATTTATCATCTATCTATTATCTATCTCTATGATTTATCTTTCTATCAATCATCTATCATGTCTATTTATCTATCATCTATTGTCTAGATAGATAGATAGATAGATAGATGATAGATAGAGATAATAGATAGATAATAGATAGATAGATAGATAGATAGATAGATAGATAGATAGATAGATAGATGCTATTTACATTATTGTATTTTTTCTCTGTTTTCCATTTAATTTTCAGTTTTGTTGCATTGCCTTTTAATCTTTTTGTTCTTGTATTTATTTTTATGAGTTTTCTGTTTCGGCACCGATTGTTAACATTTCCCTCCCTCCTCCATTTCTTCCTTACTCTTCCTTTCCTTTCTTCTTCCCACTCTTCTTTCTTTTCTATTTCTGTTCTGCCCTTATTCTTTTTTCCTCCTCCTGTTTGTCCTTTTCCCTGTTTGTCCTGTCTCCTTTGTTGATTTACTTTCTCCTCTTATTCATTATTTTTCCCTTCTCTCTCTTTTTCCTCTGCTTTTCCCTTCCCTCCCGTTTCTCATCGCTGTTGTATTTTTATTTCTCTCTCCTTTTCTTTTTTTTTAACCTGTGGGTTATTTCATATTTTTTTCATTCCCATTTGTTTTCCGTTTCTCCTGTTATTTTATTTTTTCCCCCCTCCGTCTCATTCCTCCTCGCCTCTCCTGTTGCATTAAAACAACTCCAGAAAAATAACTATCGCCACAATTTAAAAAAAACACCGATCTTCCACAGAAGCTGGAACAAGGCCACCGATGCCCTGGTCACTTACGAGGACCTCGTGGTACGTGCCACGGCTGTGGCTTCCTTCCCTGCAACCACTAAATGATGCTTTGCAAACCAAGGGCATCGATCCTGACTCGCCTAAAAACCCAAGCGATGAAAATGTCCTTCTCTTATTTGATTTAATTTTAATTTTTGCACGGGGTGTGTGTGTGTTTGCAATCAGCACCCACCCACCCCCTTTTCACATTATTTCCGGCCCGTTTGTTTCGGGGGGGGGGGAGGAATTTTGCTTTTTGAAAGCTCCCCAATGCCAGGGGGAATTTACCAGCTGCTGGTTACCCTGGGCACCGGGTGTAAATCCTGCCAGGGCTGGCTGTGATGTCGAGCAACCCCCGGGGAGCGAAATACGCCTGTTATTTTACGCTGGATGTTGATTGAGCTTTGGGCTGCGACGGAAGGAGAGAAGCCCCTTCCCCCCACCGGCCTCATGGGCAACGTAAGAGGGGCCCCTGGGTGGGGGGGTGCCCTTTTAAGGGGGTGAGATCTGCAGGCATGACTTGGGGTGGGGGGGGGGAGCAGGTGTCAATTTCATGGGCATCTGTCCTGTTCTTGCTTTAAATCCGGAAGGGAATCAGGTTTGCCTCCAGAGGTTGTGGGTGCTGCATCCCTGGAGGTTTTTAAGAAGAAGCTGGACCACCGTTTGTCTGAAATGGTCTAGCTTGAGCAGGGGGTTGGACTAGAAGACCTCTGGGGGCCCTTCCGGCTCGGTGGTTTTATGATTTTGAGGTTGAAAAGATACATGGCAGACAGAAGGTTGGAGCGAGGGAGGGAGGGAGGGAGGGAGGGAGGGAGGAAGGAAGGGAAGGGAGGGAGGGGGAAGGAAGGAAGGAAAAAAGGGAAGGAGGGAACCCAGTGAAGACCCACAGACCAAAGCAGAGAATCTTAGAAGGGAAGGGATCCAGGAGGTCATCTACTCCAACCCCCTGCTCAATGCAAAGAACCCAGTCCAAAACACACAATCTTAGGAACAGAAGGGATCTGGGAGGTCATCTAGCCCAACCCCAACCCCTTCAGAGTTCCCGTCCGACAAAAACTGTCCTTCTCTTCGGGGATCTCAAATTCCCTGCTCAAACTCTTTCTCTGGCCTGACTCTCCCGAAAATTGGGGAGGAGGGAGGGGCAGAAAGTCCAGGATGAGTTTAACCATGAGGTTCTGGGTTCGAGTGAAGCCACCTCCCACTTCCTTAACCCTTCGTTTCCCCCACAGAGTGTGGAACACCGGGTGTTGTCCCGAGACCCCTCGGCCGACACGGAACTCAAGCAGCCGGATTCCGGCCTGTCCTCGCCCCACACCACCGTCTCGGCCCCCCAGACCCACTTGGAAACGGGGTCCCCGAGCAGCATCTTCTCCAACTACGATTCCTCGCACTCGAGTCAATCCAGCACGGGGGAGAAGCAGAACTACGCAGAGCCGCGTAAGCCAAACCCTTCGATGCTCAGCTGTCAAGATCCGGCGGCCGGCATGACCAATGTCGCGTCCGGATAATACGCAAAGACGATTCTCATCGTGGCGTAAATCTCTGGGTGGTGCCCTTTCCCATCAGTTTTGCAAAGTTTCTTCCGCCCTTAACAAGACGCGGGAAGAGCAAACCTTGCTTTTTAAGGAACGGTTTGGCCTATCATCCTTTCTCCATGCCTCTGAAGCTTCCCCGGCACCCCCGACGCTCTACCAGTGCAGGCTGGGAACGAGGGGTGTTGTAGTCCAGCTAGGGCACCCAGTTGGGAAAAAGTTGGCGGGGTTTCCTGAGTCCTTGTCCCGGCACTTCTTTAGAGCTGCCTTCATTCCATTGAAAAGCAACCGGCCTCATTCTGGGAAATCACCTCTGCTTGTTTTATAGCAAGAGCTCCCACGAGCATGTGCAGAGTGCCTTGTAGGAACCAGGTCTCGGGTGAGAAAAAAAAGGCATGGTTATTATTATTATTTTTTTAACAAAAGGTGGTGGGGTTTCCCCAAAGAAGCCAATAGGGGCTTTTGCAACTGGCCAAAACAGCCTTCGAAGCAACAGGCCGCCATCCAACCGGAACAGTTCGTTTGCTAAGCTGCTCTACCGGTTGGATATCAATTTTATTCCCCCCCCCCATTTTCGTTCCAGGGGTCCCCAAAACGGCGCTCACCGATATGCAGACCTACATGGACATGCTAAATCCAGAGCTGGCCCCGGGCCCCGCAAAGCCGGGGGGCCAAACCTCTCCGCCCCCACCCCCCAGTTTCCCGGCGCCTTCTCCCCCCTCCCCCCCCCACGGGCCCCCCCCCCCCCCCCGGGCGCCCCGGCCCCGAGCCCCCCCGAAATGCCGCACACCGCCGAGATTTACGTCCAAGCCAAAAACAACCTTCGACACGTCAACAGCGAAAGCCTCAAACAGGAGGTAAGCGGTGGAGTGGGAGGGGCTTAGAGGCCCCGGGGAGGGGGATTCTGGGACTTGGAGGAGGTTTCCCCCCCCCTTGTTTTCAAGCGGCCATGTTTGAGAAACACGTCCTCGGCTTACGACCAAAACTGAGCCCGGCATTTCTGTTGCTAAGCGAGAACCTTGTGAAGGGAGTCTTCCACGTTGGCGTCGTTGAGTGAATCGGAATTCCCTGTTGACCTTGCAAAAAGGGGACCACGTGATCCACCCGAGACGCCGCGGCCATCATAAGTATGGGTCAGTGGCCAAGGGTCTAAATTTTGGACCTGGAACGGTCATAAGTGTGGAAAACGGCTGTAACTCCCTGTTTTCAGTGCTGTGGATTACTAAGCCGTCACTAAACAGACAATTGTATGTCGTTTGAGGTGTCCCGCCTTGAGGTTGGACAGCTCCGAGTTCCACAAAAGCAAAGAGCATTGGTCTGGAATGGATCTCTTGCTTCAGCAGCGGGTTGGACTAAATGACCTCCAAGGTCCCTTCCAACCTTGTGATTCTGTAATGCCAGATCAGATTAATCGGTGGTTTCCTTCGGAAGTTGTGAATGCTCCATTGCTGGAGGTTTTTGAGAACAGACCGGACAGCCATGTTGCAGAACGGTATGGGAGGGGGGGTCTCCAGCGGGTTGGTCTAGATGACCTCGGAGGTTCCTTTCCAACTTTCTGATTGTGTTAAACTAGGAAAATCCTTGCTTTTTTAAAATTTTTTTTAAAGAAATCGGCCTTGCCTCGGTCTGGCTGTCCAACGCTGTTCGCCACCTGTTCAACTTTCATCCTATTTTCCGCCAGGGATAAATGGAGTTTGGCACGGACTTTGCATTTTGACTTTTCTCACGCGACGCTCTCGCCGTCGCGACGCCAGAGTGGGGAAACTGGACTTTGCTCCGGTGTGCATGCCAGTTTCGCCCAGGATCCGAACCCAGATTTCTTTGGGAGGTGGGTGGGGAGGGTGGGAAATCCAGAATTCCCCTCCTGCGAAAATCCTTTGGGATTTTCCCACGGCTTGGCAGAGACCAACGGACCGACCGACAGATGGACAGGTGCGTGCTAGATATCCCACTGGGCTGCCTTTGGTCCTCCTGTCCAGGTGATGTCACGAGGGGGGGGCAGTGAAGGGTGTTGCTAATGGACTCGAAGGTCCCTGTAACCTGAGAGGCCGGCTCACCTGTCTCAGGTGTGCCGCAGGTGTCAGGTGTCTTGCGGCTTTCAAGGCAGCTGGAAGAGAAACCCAGAGGGGCACGTCGCTCTCCTTTCCCAGGTAAGAAAACCTGCAAAAGCAGAATTATTATTATTATTATTTTAAGAAATATATATATATTTCTTTCTGGCTCGGCCAGGTGAGAAGAGAAGGATCGGGGATGCAAAAGAGATGCAAACTTTTGAAAACAGAGCTGAAGCAAGCCAGGAAAAATACATACATACATACATGCACTTTTTTTTTAGAGCTTGGTTTGGGATTAGAACGAGAGAGAGAAACATTTTTGCGGTGGATCTGGCAGGGTTGATGTGCATGGCGGTGAAAATGGAAGGGTTTGAGTGCAAAAATAATTCACAAATAAAGGACATTATAAAATGGGTTTATCGGTTGAGGAGCCTTCCCCTTGTTCTGGAAAAATGGAACTTTGGGGTTTTTGAAAAACAGGTTTTAAAAATAAATAAATAAATGATCTACTTTTCATGCTTTGCATGCAAATGGAGGAGCCCATTGACTTAACAATGGCACAATTCACTTAACAACCGGGCCCAAAAAGGGTCACAAAATGGAGCAAAGCTCTCTTAACAACTGTCTCGTTTAGCAATGGAAATTTTGGGCTCGGCGGTTGGTCGTTAGGTCGAGGACTGCCTGGAAATAGCTTTGCACCCATGTTTCTCAAACAACACGGCAACGTGGAGACAGGTGGACTTCAACTCCCAGAATCCCCCTGGAGGATTTTGGTGGGGAGGAAAGAAGGAAGGAAAATGTAAAATGTGTCCCAAAAAAATGTCATTTGAAGCAAATCTTGCCAACTGCCAAGGTTGGTTTCCCTCCCGGCATCCGGGATCCAACTTAACAAAGGTGATTATTATTATTATTATTTTAGCTCACCTGCCAACAGCTGCAAAGGACAGATCCCAGCAGGAGATCCAAAAGATTCAGCAAACAGCCGAGCACGGGGGATTATTACAAACGCCTGGATAGCGGCGGCGGAGAGCAGAACAAGAGGACGTCCAGGATGGCCCACAGCGAGGAGGTGAGAATCCAGATTTTTTTTGGGGTGGGGGGGATCCAGTTAGAACCATGGACAGGGGGGGCCCTGGGAGAATCTGCAGAACCGGAGTGGATCCCAGATCTCCACTTGAGTTTTTCTCCAATCTGGGGAAGCTGCAATCTAGGCCACGGTCAGGCGATAAGAGGCATCGGAGGAGGAAAAGGAGGAGGGACCCTCCCTAGTTTCTTGGGCTGTAAAGAGGAGGGGGCAGAAAAATTGCAGTGTGTCTGTGGGAATGGCCTTGGGAGAGAGGAGGAAGAGACACAGCCTAGGCAATAATCAGATAAGAGGCAGCTGAACCCTTAGAATAGGGGTGTGGAAGCGTCTCAGGAGGGACCCTCCCTAGTTTCTTTGGCGGTAAACAGGAGGGGGCAGAAATATGGTCGTGGTGTGTGGGAAGGACCTTGGGAGACAGGAGGAAGAGACGCAGACTAGACGTTGGTCAGATAAGAGGCAGCTGAGCCCTGAGAAGGAAAAGGGCGGGTGGGAAGCACCTCAGGAGGGACCCTCCCTAGTTTATATATATATATTGGGTGGGGGGGCTCCTTTTCAGATGCTGATCTTTTGTTTTCATGCCCCCCCCCCTCGGCCCTCCCAGGCTTCGCTTCTCTCCAGCGAGAAAGTGCACAACGGAAGCGCGGCGGAGAAGACGCCCACCGGAGAGGCCCCTCCCCCCGCTCCCCCCCTCCCCGAGGGGGGCTGCTCCCCACCACCCCCTCCCCCCCTGCCTGCGGAGCACACACCCCCCTCAACTGGCCAGCGAAGGTCTTCCTCCTCCACCGGAAGTAAGTCTTGCAAAACCACCCCCCACCCACCCACCCCGACCTTTGCATTCCCGTCCTGGGTGCAAATTCAGCCACCAAAAGTCCTCAACCCGCAACTTTTTCATTGGGTGACAAAGTTCAAAAGTTACGCCAGCCACTGAAAAAAAATGGGACTTACGACCTGTCCTCACCCTTACGACCATTGCAAGCATCCTTGGGTCAAATGCTGCCCCAAAGTCTTTCGGCCTGTCAGGTAGACTGCTCCTAAGAAAGAGGCTCAGTTTTTGTGTTTTCTGGAGGTTCATGTTTAGGGCGGTTTGGTTTTCTGTCATTCGATTTGGGGGGCAGGAGGTTTCCAGGAACAGAAAGCTGAGAAAATGGCTGCGGTTTTTCTAGACTGGCTGAGTCATTTTTCTGGGGTTCCCCGCCCCCCTTTTCTCTTTTTGGCCAAGCAAGAATCAGAGAGAAAAAAACCCAAAAAACCCAGCCTGTTGGCCAAACCAGAAAAATTACTTTGTATTTGAGGTAAAAAACTCACATGAAAATAGCTTTCTTTCTTTTTCTTTTTTTCTCTTTCTTTCTTTCCTTCTTTCTTGTTTCTCATTTACTTTCTCTCTCCCTTTCTCATTTATTTTCCTTCCTTCCTTCCTTCCTTCCTCTTTCCTTCTTTCCTTCTTTCTTGTTTCTCGTTTACTTTCTTTCTCTCTCCCTCTCTCATTTTCCTTCTTTCCTTTCTCCCAGTCTCTTAGTACAGAAGAGAAGAGAAAAGAGAAGAGAAAAGAGAATAGAATAGAATGGACATTAGAACAGAACAGAATAGAGTTGGCAAGGACCTTGGAGGTCTTCTAGTCTAACCCCCTTGCACAGGCAGGAAACAATGTACCATTGACTGACCCAAAGTCTAGCTGCAAAATGGAAATTGAATTCTTGGGAACTCTCTTTTGAATTTTGCATCCCCGACAGATGATTTTTCCAACTTCCCTGCAGGTCCTGAATCGGCCCAATGTAGACCAAGGTTTCTGATTTGCATAGGTGCCAAGCAAAACACTTTGCATTGCTTCCCAGCTGGACTGGCCATGCCTTACTTTTAAATTCTGCGTTATTGTTTTAGGAAAATATATCTGTGGTCCTTGGGACAACCAACCCAGCTGCTGAAAAGCCGAAGTGGTGTAAGGTTTCCTGCCTAGGCAGGGAGTTGGACTAGAAGACCTCCAAGGTCCCTTCCAACTCTGCTATTCTATTCTATTCTATTCTATTTTATTCTATTCCATTCCATTCCATTCTGTTCTATTCTATTCTTCATCTATTCTATATTCTATTCCTATTCCTATTCTATTCTATTCTTCATTTATTCTATTCTATTCTAATTTTCTATTATATTCATTATTTATTTTACATTTGATTTTATTTATTATATGATATGATTTCATTCTATTTTTATTTATTTGATTGCTATCCCTGCCCATCTCGGCAAACGACTCGGGGCAACGCACCATTCAGAAGCAAACATTGCAACTGAAATCTTTAAAAACACTCGAAAGCAGTGAAAACAATAGTTTGAATTGCGCGGCCGATTTTCTGCAGTTTGTCTTCCGTTTTTCCCTTCGCCCGGGTCCTCCCAATGTGCCCTGATGCCAACCACGGCTTCCCTCTCTCCTCCTGCCCCGCACAGGCACCAAATCCTTCAACATGATGTCCCCAGCGGCCGACAATTCGGAGCTCCTTGCCGAAATCAAAGCCGGGAAGAGTTTGAAGCCAACCCCTCAAAGTAAGGGACTCACCACCATCTTCTCCAGCTGTGGCCAAGCCGGCACCAATGTAAGTTCTCCCTGGAAAATGGTTCCTTCTTCATCCAGTTTTTATTCCTCTCCCTCGAGCCTGGAGGACAAACGATTCCTGACTTACAACCCTTCGTTTAGTGACTCTCCAAAGTAAACTGGATTCCGTGGCTAAGGCAGGAAGGTGTTAGCTATATTTGCCACCTTATTTGTAAAAATAAGGCATGTAAAAGTATGAATGAATGAATGAGAGGAAGGAAGGGAAGGAAGGAAGGAAGAAAAAGAAAGAAAGGAAATAAGAGAAAGGAAAAAGAAAGAGGAAGGAATGAAGGAAAGAAAGAAAGAGACAGAAAGAAAGAAAAAGGAAGGAAGGAAAGAAGAAAGAAAGACAGTAAGAGAAAGAAAAAAGAAAAAGGAAGGAAGGAGGAAAAAGAAAGAAAGGAAATAAGAGGAAGGAAAAAGAAAGGAAGGAATGAAGGAAAGAAAGAAAGAGACAGAAAGAAAGAAAAAGGAAGGAAGGAAAGAAGAAAGAAAGACAGTAAGAGAAAGAAAAAAGAAAAAGGAAGGAAGGAGGAAAAAGAAAGAAAGGAAATAAGAGGAAGGAAAAAGAAAGGAAGGAATGAAGGAAAGAAAGAAAGAGACAGAAAGAAAGAAAAAG